GCATCGTACATGTCGATGACCTTCAAGTAGCAGGAAAGGCAGCAGTGGTGAAGCCCGTCCTCGAAGCTTTAGCGAAGAAGGTGAAGCTACAAGTAGAAGGACCTTTTCTGACAGAAGAAGATGATCGCAATGGATTTTCCAAGCAGTCTGTGCGTTTTCTCAAGAGAAGGTATAGCTATGAAGACGGAAAGTTGTTTGTCCGCCCTGACACCAAGTATGTCACCAAGCTCCTTGAAAAGCTACGCCTTGGATCGAGAAGAGAGAAAGCTACCCCTGCAGCAGGAAATGTGCAGAACACCGATGAGACAAAAGAGCTGGACGAGAACAAGAAGAATGTGTACCGAAGTTGTGTCGGTATACTGCTATATCTTGCCCAAGATCGTCCTGACATCCAGTATGCAGTCCGAAATTTGGCAACTGGAATGAAGGCTCCTACGCAGAAGAAGCAGAAAGAGCTCGAGCATTGCGCGTTGTATCTGAAGAAGACTGCAGGCTATGCGGTTTGCTACACAGCAGGGAGACCTGGAACGGCAACCTTGCAAAGAAGCAAGAATTTGGAGCAAGATTCCGAGAATGAGAACGAGAAGAGCATCGAGAGTGGCAGTCACCTGGTCGAAGTATTTTCTGACGCCGACTGGGCCGGCAACAAGAGCAGCCGGAAATCTGTATCAGGAGGAGTCATCTTCCTGGACGGCCAGTATGCGTTTTCTTACTCAAGAACGCAGAAAACTGTGGCACTTTCCAGTGGCGAGTCCGAGTACTACGCACTCACTGGTGCTGTCGCAGAAGGAATTGGCATTCGAGAAGCCGTAGAGTTCCTTTCTGGCAAAGCAGCGCGAATGAAGGCGTACACAGATAGCAGTGCAGCGCGTGGCATTGTGCACCGGCAAGGTGTTGGTCGTATCAAGCACTTAGCAACGAGAATGCTCTGGTTGCAAGAAGTTACCAGAAACGGCCTATGCAGCGTGAAGGCAGTGAGCACTGTTTTCAACCCTGCCGACTTAGGGACCAAGCCCCTCAACGCATCGAGAATGAAGCTACTTTTGAACATCCTTCAAGTTCATGATGATCGAGAAGCAATCGGTCGTGAAGAACGAATGGCCGCAGAGAGCACAGCTACAGTCAGAAGATTGACAAAGGTATCCGGAAGCAGACTTGGTTTGACGTTATTGTCAGCTTTTGGTTTTGCAGTTGAATCTGCAGGTCAGCAAGAAGGAGATTTTGTAGCACGAAGATATTTTTGCATGCAGTTGATGAGTTTTGTGTTTGGTCCGTTTTCTACAGCTCAAGAGCCACCTCAAGAACTTCAAGAAGTTGAACAAGAAGTTTTACATGGTCAAAGCAGCAACAGCAGCATGAAGTTTTCACACGTTTTCACGAGCATGCCTGAGCTTGAGATGTTCGTGCCCGTGTGCATGGCTGTGATTGTTGTTCTGGTGACGATCATTGTCTACTTGGCAGTGAACCAGAAGAAAGAGAAGAAGGGTGAGAAAGAAGAGAAGCCCAAAGAAGAGAAGCCTGAAGGTGAAGTCACAAAGAAGAAAGAAGAAGAAGACAAAGAGAAGAGCTCGCAAGGTGTCCTCGAAGACGACGAGACCGTGAAGATGAAGTTCGACGAGCTGATCGCGAAGATGGAGAAGCAAGAACGTGCCTTGGAGAAAGAAAGGTTGAAGAGAGAAGAAGCAGAAGAAAAGGCGAAGGAAGCAGAAGAAGATCGTGATCAAGCATTTGCTTTGAAGGCGAAGGTGGTTGCGAAGTACAGTGAAGCCGAAGCAGAGAGGAAAGCCCTGGAGAAAGAGAAAGAAGATCTAGAGAAGCAGAAAGAAGTTTACAAGCAAGACGCTAAAGAGGTGAGAGAGCAGTTGAAGAAGGACTACGACATGATCACGAAGCACATGAAGAAAGAAGCAGAGGAGAGAAAGAGAGAAGCAGAAGAGCTAGAAACAGCAGAACAAAGAAGAGAGGAGGAAGACAGGATCAATGCAGAGATCAGGAAAGCCAACGAGGAGAAGATTGAAGCAGCAGAACGACAAAGGAGGAAAGAGGAGACAGACAAGAAAGCCGAAGCAATGAGACAAAAGGAGCAGGCAAAGAAGGCCCAGGAGGAGAAAGAGGCCCAGGAGAAGGCAGCACAGGAAAGGAAAGCACAGGAGGAGAAGGAAGCACAGGAAAGGAAAGCACAAGAGGAGAAGAAGAAGGCAAAGGAGAAGAAGGCACAAGAGGAGAAGGAAGCACAAGAAAGGAAGGCCCAAGAGGAGAAGGAAGCACAAGAGAGGAAAGCGCAAGAGGAGAAGGAAGCACAAGAGAGGAAAGCACAAGAGGAGAAGGAAGCACAGGAAAGGAAAGCACAGGAGGAGAAGGAAGCACAGGAGAAGGAAGATGAAAGGAACGAGGCAATCGCGAAGGAGAAGGCGAAGAAGCAAAGAGCAAAGCTAGAGGCCTATGAGGAAATGAGAAGAAAGGAGCAGGAAGCCCAAGAAGCGACGAAGGAAGAGAAGGAGAAGGCAAAGAAGGAGTTGAAGGAAGCACAGGAGCGAAAGACCCAGGCGGAAATTCAGGCAGAGAAGGAACGAGAAGGAATGAAGGAGATTGAAGTCGTTGAAGTTGAAGATTCAGGATCTGAAGATGGAAAGCCCACACTAGGAGCAGAAGGAAAGAAGGATGCAGAAGGCAATGTGTGGCAGATCCACAAAGGAGCATTGTGGGTCAGGATCAAAGGCCAGTGGTATGATCCAAACTGGTGGACAAAGAAAGGATACAAACCACCGCCTGACTGTGCAGAGTCGAGCGAAGAAGGAAAAGAAGAAGGAGGAGCAGCAGGAACAGAAGAAAGAAGAGAGCAAGAAGAAGAGCAGCCCCGAGAACCACCGCAGAGAGGAGAGAAAGGTAGCAAGAACGCAAAGGGCAGATGGAATGTGGTCACGTTCACAGATTGTGGTTGGATCTGGGAGTATTGCAAAGACACGAATGAGTATCGAGCAGTTCGGCTCGATCAGAAAGGATCAGCGCAGGTGAAAGGAGCGCAGATCAAAGGTGCCGAAGACTGGAACCTCGTGACCAAGCACTTCAAGAAGACAGGAAGGTGGGAGAGCCCCACAGAAATAAGAAGAGAGAGAGATGAGCCTGAGGTGCAGCAAGAAGGAAAGCGAGGAAGAAGAAGTCGAGAGCAAGAAGACTGGCAGCAAGAAAGTTGGCACCAGCAGCAGGACTGGTACGCCGACGACGGTTGGAGCCAGAACTACTGGGACGCAGACTACGCCTACTACCACTACGCCCCGAAAGGGAAGTACCAAGGCAAAGGGAAATGGAAGTATGGTGGTGGTGGCAAGAAAGGCTGGTAAGAAGAAGAAGCCAGCAAGAAGCATCGAGAAGGGTGACGACTGAACGCAGCGTGAAGCATGTATAGATTTTCTGAAGCTGTGTACATAGAAGTTCGAGCACCCCGAACATTGCACGAAGTACAAAGTAGGTACAACGAATGTTTTTGAATAAGCAAGGACCCCAATACGCCTTGTGATATTCACACGAGTTTCACCAAGAAGAAAGTAGTTTCACGAAGAGTTTCACGAAGCAGGACTAGGAGTGTAAGGTGCAGCCAGGTAGAGGCAAGAACAGTTGAAGAAAGAAGATGGTTAGGTAAAAGAGAAGACCACACAAGAGCCATAGGCTGGCCACAGGGCTGAGACTCACAAGATGAGGACTCTAAGACAAGCCCGTGTAACTAGAAATTCGAGGTTAGGAGTTTATGCATGTTTCAAGAAACAAAGCAGAAAGAACTGGGTAAAAGACCTTGGACCAGAGGAGACGAATGTCCCCAGTTCAGTACACTTGAAGTCCGAAACAGCTCTTCGTCTTTTGGCACAGCAGTGAGAATCACTGCAGGAAAGAGAACGCCCTAAAGCCTTCGATCTGTTCCGAGGCGGGGTGTTAAGTGTACAGCATGTATCCAGGTACAGTGAATGGGTGCAGTAGGAAAGACACCAAATGCCCTAAGGCATGTTGAGTCTGAGCAGAACGAGTTTGACACCGGAGGCTTAGGCTCAAGAGTCGAAAGCGAGAAAAGTTGTTTTGCCTTTAGAGCGTGGTAGGAAAAGTGAGCCATGATGTTTACCACGTTTTTCAACAAAGTCACTGCGGCCGCCAAGCCTGGGGGCCCGGTACCTGTTCAGGACACGCCGGGCGCTACTTCGGAACGACCAGCTTCCGCCCGGCGGCCTGCCTCACCTCCTGTGACAGTCTACCGCCGCCACACAGATTCGACAGAAGCTGATATGCCGGACCATGCCTCGGGACGCCCTGGTTGGCAATGCACCTCTGCCCTCGCCTTCACAGCCACGGCCGCTGCCTTCAGACCTTTCTGGCTGGGGAATCCCTCATGCGCTTGAAGTGTACGCACTCCTTTCACGATGACTGTTTGGGACGTTGGTTCTCTACTCCCGACTCGCGCGGACGCTGTCCCGAGTGCAATATCGAGGTGGCTTCTTGAGTGCAGCACTTCCAGCACAGGCCACGCTTGAGGGTGCCCTGGTTTTTCGTCTCTCCACCACTTCCCGCGCCGCGGGTTGCCACAATTCTGCTTCTGCCAACCGACAGACATTGCTTCGCTGCTCCGTGGCCGTCAAAAAAAAAAGCTTCGCGCTGCTCCTTTCTGTGAGTTGTCAGTACATTGGTGGCGCCTGTCCCATCCTCTCTCCTTCCCACTCCTCCTCTCCCCTCCCCCCCTCCCTCCCCTCCCTCCCCTCTCTCTCCGCCCCCTCCCCTCCCCCTCTCCCTCCCCCCTCCCTTCCCGCCCCGCCCTCCCCTCCCTCCCTTCCCTCTCCCCTCCTCCTTCTTCTTCGCTGCCATCCTCGCCCACTCCTGTTGCGCCGCCCTTCTGGCTCAAGTGTGTAGGCCGCCTTCGCTTTGCGCCGTTTGTTGTGGTTGTTGGTTGCGTTGCTGGGTTCGGTTTTTTTTCCCGTTTTTTTTTTATAGTCTCTCGGTTCTCATTGCGCGCCTCACCCATGGATTTCCTTGACGACTTCGGCGACTCTGATTCCTCCTGCTCCGGTGAGGAAGCGCTTCCTCCAGTCCCTGTGGACCGCGCCAACACTGATGTTGGCGTCCATGTCCCCTTGCCTGACTTGTCTGCCCGCTGTATCGGGGACGACGTCAGCTGGAAGGGCTCTAAGGTCACCCGTTTTGCATGCATCCAGTGCGGTAGCAACGGCCGTGACCGTTTCCAGTGGGGACTCTGGCAGGGGCAGGGCCTCTCCGCCCTGGGCACCGACGTGGGCATCCTTTCTGAAACGGCTCTCTCCACAGAAGCCCAGCACTCTCTTGCTTGTCGCGGGCTGTCGGCGGCCGGCTTTCACGCCATTAGCCACGGCCACGACTCTGCCACGCACTCCCCTTCGGGTAGGGGGGTGGTCCTTGCGGTTCGGTCGGGTTATGCTGGTCAGTGGTCGGAGGTTGCACGTGACCAGCACGGCCGGGCGTTAGCTGGCACCCTTGTCTCCTCCCATGGCCTGTGCGTTCGTGTTGTTGGCCTCTACTGCCCTGTTGGGGCCTGCCTGCCTTCCTTCTCAGCCAACGCTGCCCTCCTCGCTGAAGAATCCGCCACCAAGCACTTCATTGACACACAAATTCAACATGCGCAGGCTCGTAATCAGCTTCTTCTTGTGGGAGGCGACCTGAACTCCTTCTGCTCCCGTGACCTCGACTGCTGGGAAGGTTCCTACACCTTTCGACCCGAGTGCGTAGCTGCCCACCTCCTAGCACACGGTCTCGTGGACTCCTTTCGTGCTCGCCACCCTACCCTGCGTGCCTATACCTTCTTCTCCTCCTCTGGCGCTGCCAGTCGCCTTGACGCCTTGTGGTGGTTGCCTTCCCCCGACTCCCTCACTTCTGTGCTCAACTCTTCTGTGCTGTGGCACTGGGACAGGCGTGTTGACCATGAGCCGGTCGTGGTTGATCTTGATATCTCTCTCCCCGAGGTGCCTGAAACCCCCGCAGCCCCCCCTCCTTGGAGACAGCTGGTGCGTCGCCTGCAGACTGATCTGCCATCTTTCGTTGCAGCTTCCTCCTCGGCTAAGACGGCCACCTTCCGCCATGTTGAGGCGGTACTCCGCAGCATTTAAGTTGAGTGGGACCAGCTGCCCTCTCCGCCCTGCAAGGGCATGGATGGTCTGTTGGGGCAACCAAGCATCCTGGTTCCGCAGTCCCTTTCAGCTCGTCTTTCTTCCGCGTTCGACGTGCTCGCCACGTCTTTGCTCGAGTGCCTCCCCCCTGCCCTCCCCCCTGCCCTCCCTGTGGGCAATCACCAAGCAGGCCGTGCCTCCGCAGCTTGGCACGCCTGCCTCCTCGAGCTGCGTCGTCTCCGGCGCTCCTTACTCGATTCTCTCACGCCCTCCACCACACATACCCGCGTCTCCTCTTTCCCGCTAACAGACGTGTGGGCACTTTGGTCCAAAGCGTCGGACATGGAGCGCCACCTCCACAGCTCTGGTGTTCACACACCCGCACTTCCTCGTTGGGACTCCTTTTCGGACTCGCCTCTGGAGTGGGCTGGTCACCTCGGCTTTCCGGCTGAAGTCGCGGCAGACGTGCTGACCGTGCCGGGCGCGTCTTCAGTCGTTCCTCCGGTTGCACCCGTGTCCTGGGACAGCTTGCCTTCCTCCCCGGCCCCCTCAGCCTGCTTGGCCTTGGTTCAGACCTGGATACGCGAGGCGGAGCGCCGTCAGGCTGCTACCACCAACCGGCAATGCTCCACCGCCCGTGCCCGCCGCTTGGAACTCCTCCGTCTAGGGGATGTCAAAGCCTGGGCCAAAAGCATGCGTCCCCTCAACGCCCCACATTCCCGTTTCTCTCCCGACTGGGTGCGGGGGGCTGACGGCACACGTCGGCGCCCCGCAGCGCAAGCGGATATCCTCCAAGGCTCTGTCCAGGAATGGGGCCGCTTGCTTCAGGAGCCCGTCAATTTCTGGTCACACGAGGCTGTGCAGCCCTTCAGCACTTCTTCCGCGCCCCATCGCGGCACACTGAACTTTGAGGTCTTGGCTTATGCCGCTGCAGGCTCCCCGCTCGCCCTCGTGGGGCAGGCAATGCTTCACCCAGGCCCTTGGCGCCTGGTGCCTGTCTGCGCGGCTGACGTACGGTATCTCTCTCCGGCCTCCTTGCGTGTCGCAGATTGGGTGTTGTCTCTACGTGGCGGTAACTGGTTCGCTGCGCGGCCTATGCCCTGCCCTGGCCCCTTGTTTGTGCTTCTGAGCTTTTGTGGCAAGCCTGCGTCGGAGATCACCTTGGACCACTTCCGCTGGCCACCCGCGGACGCCGTCATGGTGATCAGAGAGTTCTCACCCCCCGACACGTCGGCTGTGTCACCCACCTCCACTGCTGAGCGCCTCTCCCTGTGTGCGAGATTCCGTCACTCCCGCCCTGGCCCCAGTGGCTGGAAGGTTTGCTACATTGAGGCCTTTCCGCCCTGGCTCCAGGACCTCTACTGGACGGCCATTGACCTACAGCGTTTAACGGGCATCGTGGCCCCATCGCTGCAAGTGGCTGTTCAAGTCCACCTGGCCAAGCCCGCTGGTGGATGGCGTCCCCTCTCTATGCTCGAGGAAGGCCTCAAGTCCATTGAAGCCCCAGTGGCCGCGCGCCTATCCAACGCCCGCCTCGGCTGCTGCCTCGACCACCCCTTCAGCCACCTTAACAGGGCGTACGCAAAAGGCGTCCCCGCCGCGGTGCAGGTCCTGTACCTTGACTGCTTGGTCTGCGAGGACGCTTTGCGCCACCGCAGGCCGCTTCTGCGCGTCCCCGCTGACTATGAGAAATTCTTCAACACTCTCCAGCTTCCTCAGGTGGACGCCCTTCAGCAAGCACGCGGCTTCCCCGATAGTGTCCGTCGCCTGCACCAATCTCTTTTCGCACACTCCCAGGTCCTGCTCGACACCCGGGCAGGCCTTTCCAGCCCTATCAGCGTCACGCGTGGCGTCCCACAGGGCTCCGTTTCCTCCCCGGAGTTGTCTCGTGCTGCCCAAGACCCCATCTTGCGCCTCCGTTCCTCGGACGGCGCTGCTTACGTCACCAGCACTGGTCGGCGGGTTGTGGCGGCTGGTTATGTGGATGACATCGAACATTATGGGAGTGGTGTCGCTGATTTACCCGCCGCTCTAGGCAGCCGCGCTTCCGGCGTTGGCTTTGCTTGGCCCAAATTCTCTGCCTACGCTTCCGACTGGGATGAGGCTTGCCCCCCCCTCCGTGCCTCGGGGATCCTCGAAAACGGGGCTGTGGCGACCAGCTGAAATATTTGGGAAGGGGGTATGCGTGACTTCACTCTGCCGCGCTCTCGTGGCGATCAGGTTGACAAACTCCTCGGCAAGCATGGCACTCCACTTGATCGCCACTCCCTTGCCTCCGAAGATCTCCTCGGCAGGCTCCCTTCTGCACGCCAGCGGCTTGCGGCAAAGCATTGCTCATGGGACGAGACGCTTGCCATGATGCAGTGGGTTCTCGGCGGTGTCCTCAACTATGCTCCTCTAATCGGGTTGCCCGCCCCAGCTGATGCGCATCGAGAAGACGCTGCCTTCCACCGGCTCATCCTCTCCGGGCTCGGAGTCCGGCGCACAGCAGAACACGTCAGTTTGTCCGCCCCTCGTTCTTCGGGGGGTCTCGGGGCCCCGCTCATTTCCGAACTCCTTGTGGCCGCAGTCGCCTCCGACGTCTTGTTGCTGCTCAACGGCGTCGAGCAGGCTGCCGCGGTAGCCCGGGACACAATCCGGCAGGCTATGGATTGCCCTCCGCACGAGGTCCCAGATCATGCTGGGCTCCTCTCCAACGCCCTCCACTTCCTTGCCGGTTATGGCCTCTACCTTTCCCTCTCCACGGGGATCGGTTTGTTTCCCGTCTTCTGGATAACCTCCATCCCCCTGAGCCGCAAGCCCTGGCTGGCCCTTTCTCCCAGGCGAGGTTTGACGCTGCAGCCCGCTTCTCTCGTGTGGGGCTGCTCGCCAACTCTGTCCGCACCGCCTACCATGCCATTCTCCTCCTGCCGGATCCGCCGGCGCAACTCGTTATCCCGGAGACCTGGGCGGCCCATCTGCCTGCGCACGCCCCGGTCTCCGCTCAGGCCTGTGCGCGCGCAGCTTCTGCAGCCCTCCGGCAGTCGCGTGCTGATTTCGAGGCGGAATGCCGCCTTTTTGCTGTGCCGTGCCCGCTGCGCCCACCCTCTGAAGACTGGCTCCCTGCCGCTTGGTCTACCCCCTGGGACCCTCTGGTTGATCCCCGGTCCTCCCATCTTCTGCAGAGGGCGGCGATCCCAGCAGGCGACTTGTTTCACTTCCTCTCACGGTGCCACATTCGCCTGCCAGGCGCGTGGCTTCGGCCCGTCTAATGACTACTGGGGTTCAGCTAGTTGGGTCTCTTGCCAGTTCCGCGGCCGCCTTCCAGCACGTCTAGGTTGGGCCCACTCGTCCATACACACGGCCGAGCTTCTGTCGCTGGTTGTAGCTCTCCGCTTCCGCCAGCCGGGTCATTGGCACCTATTGGCTTTCGACCGCTCCTCGCTCTTTGACATACTTGTTATGGTGGACCGGGGTGTCACTCAAGACCTCCTCACCTCGCCGGGTCTTCCTCTCGTCTGCCACCTCCGTCGGCTCCTTGGTGAGCTCGCGGATTCTTGGAAGGATCCTCCCCCTCAACCAGCATGGCGGCTCCAGCAGGAGCAGGCCCCATCGCTGTGGAATGTGCGGTTGCCGCTCGAGGGGCGTGTCCGCCAGTTCTCCAAGATTGCTTTCGTGAGACATGGTGTTGTGGGGGTTCACGTTCGCAGCCATCAGACTCACTCCTCCCATCCCTGTTCCGCTGTGGTCCAGGGTAATGAGGTGCAAGATGAGGGCTGCCGTCAGGCTCGTTTGCTCCCAGCTGTTCCGGACATCTTTATCCCCAGTGGAGGCCCGCTTGCGTGGCTCACCCTCAACGGCCCGCCCTAGACCCCTCGCTTCACACGCGCTGCCACGTGGGACGCGCGTGGCGTGCTTGGCTCTTGGAGGGGGACGTTGCGCCCCTTGACCTGTCAGCGATGGCCTTTCGCTGTCTCCGGGCCATCGGCGGCAGCTGGACGGAGCGCCTGCGTTCCCAGCCTGAATCTGCTGCAACAGCTGCTGCGTGGGTGGAGCAGCAGCCACACCCTCCATCAGTCCGCCTTTGCCCCCTGTGCCGGGATGGTCCGGGCACTCCCCGGCATGTTGTCATGGCCTGCGCAGCCATGGCCCCGCTGGCGGACCTCCTTCGTGACGCGCTTGAGGCCGATTTGTCCCAGCATGCCGCCACAGATGCGCTCTTACAGGCTGCCGCTGACTGGCGAGGGTCTTTGCCACGTGACCGCGTGCCAAGTCCCCCTCCTCTGGCCTCTCAGAATCGTTGGCCGCTGCTCTCTGCTTGGCGCTGGCTGGTTCCCATTCCCGACCGGGAGTCCCTTCTATCTGTGGATGTTAATGGTAGCAGCGCGGTCTCCACCAGCAGGGAGACAGGGTCGGACCTCGCCTACCGCGGTGTCCTCCCGCTGCAGCTCGGTGTGGCCCTCTGCCGTTCGGGGTCTAGCGACAGACATGGAGTCCTTCGCAACCCTGGCGCAACCTGCTGCTCTTGCATCTGAGCTGGACAGGCTTACTCAATCCCAGCATCGGTTCCTGCCAGCCATCCGCACAGTCCAGGCTCTCCTCCTGGGCCTGCGCCGCATCCGTGCGGAGTACCAGCGCCGCATTCGCTCGTGCTGCCACCCCGGTCCCTGCGCCGCTGCTGGACGCTGCCGCGCCGCGGCAAGTGGATCCTCTTCTGGTTTGGCTGTACTCGCCGTCAGGTTCAGCTGTCCTTAGAGAGCTGCGTTGGTCCCTCCTCTCCCTGCCTTCGGCAGCCTCCCGGGTGCGTTTAGCTTCGGGCTTCAGGTCGCGTGCTGAATCGGCTATCAAGTCGCTTCTCTTTGAGGCCGGTGTGGCCTTGCTTGTTGATGGCATTCCTAGCTGGGGCCCAGACTGGCCATCCTGGGACGAAGCCTTGTCCGGCCTCTCCCGCCCATGCTTGTGCCCTGCCTCTGGTCAATCCCGGCTCATTGTCTCCTGCTGGGCGTGTGGCGGCCCGGACTTTCCCCACCATTCTGGCGCGGTGCAGCCTTGCCCCTGGTGCAAGTCCCGGCTCGGAGACCCCTGCGCATCCTGCCACACAGTCCTCCATTGTCGCGGACGCTGCCGCTGGAACTCTGGCGCGCATGCTGCTTATGTCTCTCAGGCTCCAGGTGTCCCCACGCTGTGCCCCGACTGCTGGTGGGAATGGGTCAAGCAGCTGGCCTCCAACCCGCGCTGGCGCAGGCGCCCTATCCCTCTCTCCGAGCCTCTCCACGCGCACCTCCGCCTGGCGGCGTCACAGTGCTGCCCAGGTGCCGGCTCTCAGCAGGGACCCTTGCCCCTGCCCGGACTCCGCCGAGTCCGCCGGTGGCTCCTCACCAACATCCGCCACTCCGGTGGCTCCGACATGGAGCAGCTTCTCTCTCTCTTCTGCTCGCAGTTCCCGGCCGCTGAGGCCACGTGCTGCTCGACGCTCCTGCGTCGCGCCTCGCAGGCTCTACAGGCAGAAGGTTTGGCAGTGTACATAGACCCTCACCTCGTTCCTTTGCGTGCCGCGTGA